ACTCGGTTTTGGTCAAGGATCTGAAACGGATTCCCAGCCCTCAGACTTGCCAGCATTGCTCCGGGGTAATTGGCTGCTGACTGGTTCAGCTGAGATGCGACTCGTAGTCCGGCTGACCTCATGGTCTGTACAGCAGTGCATGTTGTACGGCCAAATAAGCAATGCGTTACTTTTTCTAACCATGAAGGAAGGTCGAATGAGTGGCGCAACTCACAGTTCATTACACATGAAACTCAGAGGGACAAAGCTTTCAAGCCCCTTTGGGATGCGACGCACATTCTAGTTTCATTCAAAACTGTGGTTGCCTACTGAGTGAAATATGGCCTGAACTTGGGCCAGACTAGCCGACGTATAGGTCAGACTTCCTTCCCAGAGAATCTGTTCCGAGGATAGAATCGCATCTTCCCCAGGAGTAGGAGGCTCGGTTTACTGGGCGGGAGCGATTCGGGATAACACAGAGAAATGGGAATTTGATGATAGTGATAGTATAATAAAAGACATAATAAAGTCTCTACTGTGATTGATAATTGCCTCCCCTTGCAGCAGACATTTCATGTTCCTCTGGGGTCCTCTTCGGGGGAGGAGTCTGGCTTAGTCCAACTCCTGAATCACACCAGCCAGTACTCATATGAGCTTTTGTCAGATAAAGCTTGAAACCATTCAACGGGAGAAGTGGAAAACGAGCTGCGTAAGTAGGACTTACCCTTGTGGCCGTGCAGACACGTTGCACTGAACCCCTCCCCCCTGTGACCAGAGCCCGCGACGCAGTGGTCGAAGCGCCTATTTCGTATCTGATCGCAGGGCCCAAGTATTTTCATATAGCCTTAATACGGATCAGTCCAAGCAGCTCTTATGCGAGAAGAGGGACTCTTTGAAGATGAGAAAAGAAATCGGCTATGAATAGCGCATGTAAGCAGAAAAACCAGTGTTGACAGCATAATGAAGATCTTTCTGTCTCTCTCATTTTCTCCGCAAGACGAAAATGATTAGCCCGACTGAAATGCCGCTTTCTGCCTTCGCCTAATCGGCGACAGTTCTTTGCGAGATTAGCGCAATCATTTCTAATTAATATGAGGGATTAATAACAAACTAGCAGAAACTAGTTGATAGAGCAGACTAGTTGGCAGTTCAGGAATGACAGAAATCCCTGTGGATCCTTGCACGAAACTTTGCATACTGATAAACGCCCAGTCAGCTCAATAGAGTTCCCTAAGAAATACCTACTGTGAACGAATTACAAGAGCTAAGGCACCGTAGCAGTGGTTCACTGAGGAGCGCCTCATTGCGGAAGAAAGGAATTTTTCGCAAAGAGTTATCAGAAGAATGCTGAGTTAAGAGCAAAAGGCTAGCCCCAGGCGGGAGTCGAGACACGTGGACGGATACAAGCATACAGCACACCTTTTCCGGCTATCCGTTTACCCCACAGGGCCGATCCTAGCTGCTAACCAATTAGCCCACTCGCCGCGAGGACGTGTGATGGGTTCTGCCGCTGGGGTCGTCATTTTGTGCATAGCCCAGCATCTTCTCTGATAAGTTTCGGAACGCGAGCTGTGGCGTGAAACGGCATTTATCATCATAAAACATTTTCAAAAAGTATCCCAAAATTTCCACAACGATGATATTTTTTAAATAAAGAGAAATTCAGTTCAGGCACAAGATAGCGGATAGGCGAAGTAAGCCACGCGATCTCGCTGCTGCGGCTTTCGCATACGCTCTAATCCGAGTTCTTAGCCACAATCGAGTGGGGGGTAACTGTTGTTATTGTCTCGCCTCGTTACCATGTCCGAGCGACCAGCAGCGTCCATCCATCGTTCCGCCCCTTTACGGCAAACGATGGCTTGCGAAAATTGATGCTTCCAAAGGAAGTTCTTTCGAAGAAGATTGTAATTTCAAGAATCCGTATTCCGGAAGCGAAGAAGATCAAAGTGATCACGATTTCTCGTATACTGCCAGTCCCCCTCGACACTGACCGTCTGCGCCTATGTCGTCTTGACTAGGAAAGGAGACAGAAGGCGTTGTGGTTGATCTCCCCACCCCAAATACGTGAGCGCCACAGAATCTTCATCATTTCGGTTCGATTGCTGAGGAGACCTGGAGCAGGAAAAGCAATGTCTGGCGCACGACTAAGTCACGAGCACAGCAGACGCCTTAGAAGCAGAGCGCATCTCTATGTTGGGGAGTGAGGGAGGGGAGTCATCATAAAACCCCTTGGGAAGAAGCGTCGTTCTGACGCCATTATTTTCCTATAACGGATGATGTGCGTTACTTGAAGGACCATATTCCCAATCATTGCAGGCAGAGCGAGCAGGACATCATTGGTTAGGGAAATCTCCAACAGAGGGGGGGGTCGTATTTGGCCGCCAGGAGAGGGGGGGGGTCGTAATGAGTGCGGTAGCCAGTAACGAGCAGCGCAAAGGTGTCAGTGTGCTGAGTCCTGTACAGCGAAACTTGCTTTTAGAGAACTCGGATATGTAAAAAAATAGTACAAAACTTTCATTCATCAAACTAATCCGAAATAACTGGAAATATTAATAAGTAGTATTAACAAGTCGACATCATCTCGTAAGTGACTCATACTCTGGTTCGCTGCGGATGATGGGGCGCGTCCGCGATCGCGCTTGGCGCTGAGCCAACCTGCTTTTTTTCGACAAACGACAGGACTACCATATCGTTCGTATCAGACGTTTTCCAGCAGTTGGTCTCCTTCATCGGAATCAGCAATTGGCGGAGCACGAATCTGGCGGCGTCGACAGGGACATGTTCCATCATACGCAACGGAAAACACTGTAAACAAGTGCACAGGCTCGCCATGGGAGCTCCCTGAATTCCTTCCAGACACATCTCGCGTGGACAGACATTACGCACAAATTGCACCATCCCATCACCTCTGCGCGGACCTCAGTGCGCGGCGCATCCAAAGTCAGCGTGATCGGCGCTAAACGAACCATATTCTGCTCCTGCTCCACCACAGGATACGTTTTTCATGCGTCCTGGTTATTCGCAACACGCTTCACTCGAAACGGTACACAGGAAACGGGTTTTTCGCGCAGCTGGGAGTGTTCCCCAAGAAATCCCCATCGCGAGATCTCATGAATCCCGAGAACTTCAGAAACAGTTCAAGAGGTTTTTAGAAAGAGAAAATCTTCAAACACTCGAAACCGTTCTCAGATTTGTGAAATGTTGAGTTACAAAAATATATTGATTTAAACCTGTTCAGTGTTGTAAATCACTCCCCAACGAATCCCCATGGCAGATTTCTCTGTGATTTTTGCGACCTTCATAAACGTTTCAGTACTTTTAGGAAGTGCAAACCTTCCTCTACACGTGTGACACAGGTTCACTGCTCCCTCACAGTCCGCTTCTGAGGAGTTATGGTCTTCAAAGACACCCGCAACTTTGCGTTGAAAACGCTTTTCACATGGCTTGGTCCTGCCAGAAATCCTCCCCCGGTACCTTCGTCTTAGTCAGCTGATTTGCGTATGGTTTGCTCTCCGTTGGTATTGTATTTTCGTTTATCTTCTTCTCGGTTTACTCGAATATCGAATATTTATCTTCTTATCAGTTTACTCGAATACGCGTCAGAGCGCGCCCAAGCAATTTTGCTTGGACCGCTCAGAGTGCTTTTAGGAGAAGTTGGCTTAATTTCCTGTTTTTTTTTCTTTTAATTGCAATTGATTTAGTACCAGAGTTTGTTTTGACTCGAGGAAAGGTGTGTGAATGGCTTTCTTTTCTATTCTCTTTTCTGAATCAGGATAGAAATGAGCAAAAAGCGAGGGGGCCTCGTTCAGGATTGTTACTTTTTCCATTTTTCGCGCTTACTTATACATAAACTTATGAAGTTTCTTCCTCCTCGGGGGGGGGGGGGGGGAAGAAACTTCATAAGTTTATGTATAGGGAGGGGGGGGGGTCGTACCGAACCCCAAAAAAGGGGGGTCGTACGGGCTCCACCAACTAAGGCTGTGCCCTGATAGCTGATTCTAACACTGCCACGCTTCATGTATGATGGCCCGACGCATATCAAGCCATAGATAGTACCTGTTCAAAAGCCTTTGCGATCCTAAGTATCGGAAGGGCGAATGCGTGGCGCATTTCAGAGATTGGTAGATTGCGAAAGAGTTGATTGTTTTATTTATCAGGTGAAAAAGATGAAAAGCCTCATTATTCATCCCAAAGTATTACCATCATGATCATCAAGAGCAACAAAGATGAGGTGGAAGTCCTAGCACAAGGACCAAAGACCACCATAATATGTGGGTTCAGACGATGGGAACAAATTTTCTCAAAGAGAGAGACAGAGAAAAAGAGAAACCAAAACCCTAGTGAAGAGCAATCTCACCCTTGTTCTCAATATGTATGCAACATATGTACAACGAACAATCAATTAGTAGTAGCATTATTTCCCGTTCTAGAGATCTATGCTGAATGACTAGTTGAGAAAAGACGAAGCGTAGCCACGGATACACACATCACTTGTACAATATTCGTAATTCAAATATAAAATTCGATTCTTTTATTTCAGAGTTTTTTGCTGAAATTCTGAGACGACCTGCTCTGGAGCTTCTCATAAAGCCTCAGAGGTCACAGCACTACCCTCCACTTTTTCACGAAAAGGTGTTTAGCGCATCCTGTCGCGCGCGGTCGCGTCGCGGCCCCGAAAAGTTGCACTCACCGAGCATTTAGCGGCGTTCTGAAGCTTGCATAAGGCTTCTCTGGTAATAGTTAGGCAAAGAATCAACTCGTTGAGGACCGCGACGCAACCGCACGCAGGCACCTGTGCGGGACACCTTTCACCGCACAAGAAAAAGTGAGGTGTATAACAGCCGCTGGTGTAAGGTGATCGGTTACAAAACGCAAACGGCAAGGCAAAACACAGTGACTCGATCGGTTACCGTCCATACCACAATTTGAACGTCAATTATGCTATTTTGCCTGTAACACAGACAACCTCACACCTTCGGCAATCAAAATTGGTACGATTTTTTATAACATCTCAATATGAATCACAAGCACTTTGAGTAATTGGTCATATTAGATCCGTAGATGGGGAAATTCCTTTGTAAAGCTGCATTGTTGCCGCCACCGAATCCACCGTAACCCATCGTTGATGGGTTGAAAAAGGCACCGCTTGTCTGAAACTGTGGGACGTTAGGAGGAGATATTGATCCTTCTCAAAGAAGTGGGTAGTTACCTGTAACCCAGTTGGAATGAGTGATCTGTAGTTGGCCGACCAGCCACCTTGCATGAAATCCTGCTGTAATCGATTCACTGTCTGCGGTGACAGGTAGTCTGGACCGGCTCCGCCTGTTTGCGGTTGCAATGCTTGAGCTATTCCTGGAACAAATTCTTAACTATTACCAAGCTCTCCCAAATTATTGATTTCTATGAACACCATCGGAAATCAGTTTGTTGCTGGCCACGACAGGTTATTTTATTGAGGAAGTTTTAGCTGAACTACAACCCTCCTCCCACGCTTTCTCACTTTTCTCCGTCGGGGCTGGTAGACAGTTTCTCTTGCACAAATGCGAACCCGCTCCTTCTGGCGATTCGATAAGTTACATGCCTGGGCTAGTTGTAGCTTGTACTGGGCGTGAGGGATGGAGATCAAGCGGCAGTCAAGAAGTAGCCAACGCTACTCGCCTGCCAGTCAGCTCCTTATATGAGGTTTGTGTGAGCGCATGTGGCCCAGTTTTAGTCAGTTGTTTTTGTAAGCAGGATGGGAGGGTCCTTCAGAAAGGACCTCTCGTTGTCTATTAAGTTCTTTACCTGCCTAATAGACTAGGGATCCTATACGTGTAATGACCCTCTCCCTTCTTCACCCTCACCCTCCCCCCGCTACTACCCCACTCTGTAGATGAGGTTCCTTGGAGCTTGGAACAAGTATGGAGCTGGTCTAGCAAGTATCAGACTGTTTATTGGTTTATTTGGTTTTCCCTAAAAAACAGGCAGCATTCGGAAACAACCCCGTGGATATTATCCTGATGACCTAGAGAATAACAGTAGCATTTTACCGACGCTTGCGTAGATGGTGAGGTTCAATGGCGCGCACGCGACTCCATTTTTAACGTCACATTCACAACCCTGCCACAACCCGTAGTTTCTGACCCGCCCGTATTACCCTCGCTTGCTTCCCATTATGAGTCAGTGTCTTTATTCAAGGTGAAGTCAGAATAGTAAACAGTAGCGAAAAGGAGGAAGACTCACCTTGAAAATCGAACTTATAGGCATATCGTTTGCCATGCACCTTGCACATAATGTTCTTATCGTAGTAAGTAGCGCAATGCCCGTGACATCTTGTCGTAGTTCATGTTTCGGTTTCGATTTCCGTTCACCCCATTTCCTGGACAAGACAACATCAGTGAAATAAAAGTCATTTTCTATTAAGTGGTGCCTATGGACAAGCTCCATACCACCACGACATCTACATGGCACCAAGTGCTTACCTGGCCACCTCGTCGGGATCCACCAGTTTGAACTCGCCCTGCGTTCCCTCCCACGTGATGACGTCATCGTATCGTTTGTCAGCTAACAACTCCAATAAAAATTGCCACAACTGCGTTTGTCCGCTACCTGAATATCATAGCTTTCATAACGAACTGAAAGCCACATGCTCGGTTCCGATTACTGCATATGGAGGCGAGCGGGTGCGCAGTTGCAGTGCGCTGCCAATTTCCCACACAAGCAGTGAAGGGCATGTGACGCCCAGGTGTCGTCTTACAATACTCACCGTGCTGTCACATCACAGAACACCCACCACATGCATAATCATAAAGCTAATCGTCTATCTGAACCTCGATGATAGACCTCTCCCGCTGTAACCGCTCGTTTCACTACGGGACCTTTGTACGAGGCAAGTGCTGCACCTGATAGCGTGGGCTCGATAGGAGAACGCACTGCGCGGTAGGAGACGTTCTGGGGTGCCATACCGCTTGTCATGGCTTGAATCGCCAGTGTCGAGGCGAAAATGGAACAAAGAACTGTATTTCAAACACTCACCTGAATTGCGCTATTCCGACTACTACGTTTGGTCCAAGAAATCTGGTACGGATGCTAACAACTCATTTTAATCCTTATTTGCCAAATAACTCCGTCCATATTACTCGTGAGCTTTTTGAGGGCTAATTTCAATCAGCGAGTACTTCGACGAAAATAAAAATGGAATTTCTAGCGGAGGCAGTGAGAAAAACCCACATTTCCTATCATTTTCGGCAACAGGGTACCATAAGCAATCTAAACCAAGACGAACGTAGCCTTGGATACACACATCACTTGTACAATATTCGTAACTTCGAATATACAATCCGATCATTCAATTTCAGAGGTTTTTTGTGGCCATGTTGTGCTGGAGACGGATCTGGCGTGCTGGGAGCGCTTCTCAGTGAGAGCCTCGTTTTATTCTATTCTACACTACCCTCCACTTTTTACGAAAGTGTTTAGCGTTTTTGGTTCGATTTGCTACTGTCAGGGTTTTGGATCATGTTGAAAGGAATGTACGCAAAGTGGGCTGAAAGCGCCCTGACCCGTTCAACAGGAATGGCCATTATTCCTTTCGCAGTGATTAGCCTTTTGGTTTGTAAATAACCGTTTGGAACTCACATGCGGGAGCAACGGGTCAAACTCAGCTTTTTAGCTCAGTCAGCTGATAAAAATAAGTAACCAGAATAGCCTCATTTTCTTTTGCACACATCATCAACACTTTAAACGGGAAGATCGGCCCTCGCCTGACGCTGTATGACGACGCACACCCCCTGACCAAGATCTCAACGCCTCTAGTAACTTACTGGGATGACCACCAAGATATCAACTGACACAGGCCAGTGTTAAGTTCCTTACTAGTGGTATTTGATCCTAAAGGTTCACCAAGTCTGTCTCTGTGACGTATACTGCGACATACAAAATACCAAACAACAACCGGATTCATCATTCGATAGTGCAAACACAGCCCCGATGTGCAGCCAAGCAATTCACGTCGGAATGTCTCCTCGGAGATGGTGTGGTCCAGAACAAAAAAACCTTTCCATCAAGATACAAATCTTTGAGAACGTGTATCCAAGAAACACCCGCGATCATTCCCCATCAAGAGAATAGTGGATTAGGGGTTGGCCATTAGACGACAAAGGTGGCTGATAAACTCATAGTGGAGGAAAAAAGCCAGAAAAAGTATATGCCCACACGCTGGCCTTAGAATGAACCCCATTCTGATCCCATTTTGTACGTGCCCAACAAACTTCATTTCCAACATTACGCCCTCTTCCGCACAGCTGATACCCCGATAACGACTCTAGGACCGTAAAGATGACTAGTTTTTCAATGCTTTGTCGATAGAAAGAAGCATCACTCAAGCCTATACGCGCTTATAGCGGCCCCTACCCTTACAATTTTGACGCAAAAACCGACGCTTCTGATCAGAAGCAAGAAACCGCCGCGGACCACCACTACCCACCCTACGCCACATTTTCAACTTCTAAACCTGTTCGTGGACTGAGCCTTCAACAATTTCATTTATTTAGGCGAAGCAGTTGCATAATACTAAGAAACTTTACAAATTATTGCATCCTGCTCAGGAACTGCTCATTTTTACCACATCCGATAGGTGATTCGAAGTTTATTCGCTGCCCGGTTGTTGGAGGGGGGAGTTCCTATTGAGAGAAATTGTACTCATCTCCAGAATATATCCTGCTTCCGAAGAGTCCAAGTGTCGCTCCCTCTAGCAAGTGAGGCGTGAAAGAATTCGAGAGGGGGTTTGGACTAACGAACTGAAATAGAGACGTCGTCGTCTCATCAGTCGGCTCTTGTGTCTTGTGTCACGCAATTGTTCGCTTTCCACTTAACTCAGACTCGTTGGTGTACCAGTTACCCACTAAATCTCTTCGTTTCATTCACTGCCTGCTTGCCATGCCGAAATTCTCCCCCTAATCGGCTGATATTGAATTCGACTCAAAGAGCACCCGCACCGCCCACCACTTGCACCATCATCTACTGATTTTCCAGTGTGTCAAGAATTTGGCTAATTAGCATGCACGATGTATGCCATCACATCAGTGCCACTCACTGGAAACTCCAAGGACTACGGTAGCTGACACGAAGAGGTCGTCGTCCTAAACTGATTAAGCACCGTGCCCTCCGTAATTGGTGGTCATGTAATGTGATTTGTTCGTGTATGTCAACCGATTAATTCAGTAGAGGTCGTTAAGGTCATCAAGCAGTTAAGCACAGCTGTGTGCTGGCAGTTTAGGCTAGGCAATCGCTTAGTGTACAGGTGGAGAACCGAATCGAAGACAATTACTCGCACCTGAGACGATCGGAACTGGTCGAGACTGTTCAGGCGAATTAACACCGGACATATGGTAGCGCACGGGCGACAAATCGCTGCACAATGACCTTAGCTTAACGGTTTACGCTCTGAGACAATGCTTTCGGTCTAATGACATAGAATTAGCCGTAATTGATGAAAATACGTTATAAATTCTGCTTAGGTAGCAGTCACTAAGAAAATAGTATTCATTTACTTTTGACTTGGGAGGGTTCGGAACATCTACAACGTACCCTGGAAAGAGATTCTCGGCCCTCAACTGTTCAGACTGAATCTATGATTACGTCTAGTATGCGCCATACACTTCATACTGATTCCAAAATCAGAAAGACTGAGGTAAAAGTGGCCAAGTGGCCACCTTTGGCATACCAAAAGTATCCATGGGTAAGAAATACACGAGCTGCTAATCAAACCTTTTCCAAAAGGGAAAAAAGGGGGAAGGATGAAGTTCTCCTGTCGGCTGATCCAATACTTTTGGGAGATGAGACCATACCAGTGACCCGCTGAGATGAGCGATGTTAAAGCATGCCTCCCTCCGAGATCGGATCTGCACCATTAGGCGTCACGCGGTTAGGGCGAGACGGTGTTGGGTTTCCGGTGGCGGCTGGAAGAGAGCCGACACCGAGATTTGCAGGCTCTTATCGTTGCGAGGGGGTGTGTGGGGTGCGTGGTGGATGTGGGGGTGGGGGGGTGTGTGGTAGAGCGTGTCGGACGCGAGAAAGTACACTCTGACCCTCTCTCGCTCCGGCAGAGGATAATTAGGCCCATGTTAACGGTCACTTTGCCGTCTCTCAGTAAGGACTGTATGGCCCTCTCTATTATGAGGCATATCTTCTTGTCTGCTGTTGAAAACTCTGATCAATAGGCCTCCCTGCATGATGATCGCCATCTATGGTGCTGGGTAGAAACCTAAGGTATATTTCACTTTCCCAAATTTTCGCTATCAAATAAAATTTGGTGCATGCGCACCTCGCCAGATTGTGTCTAGCTAAAGAAGATTTTCGATTCAACTTGCTGATCAAAATCAGGGACATTAGGCGTGGAAAGGGATAGGCAGGGCACAACTTATAGCCGGATTTGTTACTAATAGGCTGGCGTGGTTGGCGGTGTATGATCGGCAAGCCATCATTACTAGCTAGCCATAAGGATATAATGAGCTGACGTCATTCTCGATGAACTCCTTGTTCTTTCACTGAGGTTAGCAATAGTGAATGGAAGTTGGACGCGCGGCACATTCGAAAGGTCGAAAGGAAGCGCGGACGCTTCAGCCCCATCAGAAAAAAAAGCTAGCACTCCTATGTAAAAGCTCTGTGAAGGATGTAGCTCACTGGAATAAGATTATCTCAATGATGTTGGAGAAACTCCCTATTCCCTTCCAGGGTGTTTAGACCTCGGGAGGGGAAGGCAAAAGAAGTTAGAGGTTCATAGGGGGGATCACCTCAGCTAAAAAGTATCGCGTGACAACCGCTAACAAAATTCCCAGAGGGCGAATCCTACGGCCATCCCATTGGACAAGCAGTGGCCAACGATGTGATCACGTACGTCGAGTGACTACGATAGCCAAAGCGATGATTAACCCGTTTCCTCTTCCTCCTTCCTCAGAGATTTCCATAGTAGATAAAGCTGTTTCCTTCATTTGGAAAGTTCAAAAAAAGTCCAGCGCTGAGCTTCGTTGTTCGTCATCTCGATGATGACCTCATTATTTCCTCCTTAAACGGCTTCTAAGTGCTCCCAGACGGATCGGCAACCTATCATTACTGCTGAGCGAGCCAATCGGCTTTTCGGCATTGTTTCACGACGATAATGTGCAGCTTAGAGTAGGTGTTAAGTGGTCGCGTCGGCAGCGGCCACCTGGTTGTCGGCAGCTTCTTAGCTTCTTAACCCCCTCAATGAGTGTACGCGCGACAGTTGCATAAGAGAGTGATGGGAGCAATTGGAACGGGTAAAGTAACTGTGGTAAGATAAGGGTTCTTGTTAATAAGGATTCCTGAGTTACGCGAAAATGCTTTACACCAGCCAGGACTCGACTCTGAACCTCACCATTCTGGGGCAGGTTTGCTAGATGTTAGCGAATAGCACCACTTCTGTGACATATAGGAGCAGAGCTTTCTCTTTGGGGTTTTATTGCTTTCCAAAGCTTCGTTAAGGGTGTCCAAGGGGCATAATCTGAAACCCAGCGGGAATCCTGGGGCTATGGCTACCGGTCAACCCAATGCGATCAGCGGTGAGTGGTTACGAGAAAAAGCTTAACCGAGGATGAGCTGCAGCTCGAAATTTACTTTCAATCCGATCCAAAGTTGATCCGACGCCGCTTTTGACAAAGGATGAGGTCGGCACTACCACCCGTGCTTTGACACTTCTGCGGGAGGGTTAAAATGAACTCAGTTCCCAGAAGGATCCACAACTCGATGGCTCTTCAGGTCTGCTGAGGGCACTAGTACAAAGTTGGTGACACTGAGATTCAGTTGGCAAACACCGCTTCTATATAGCTCGTCGAAAAATCTTTGAGACACTGCTCGGGGTCCTGGGTCCTAAACCCAAACCATGGGCCTGAAAAGATTGCAGTGGAGCCGCGGGCAAGCCTTGCCTTTCACACGTCCGTGGGCTTGCTCTAAACCCCAAGGCTGCCTAGCTTGCCTTATAGTGACGCAATCGCCGATCGAGTGTATTTTCCGGCTCTAGTTACTTTGCGTTAATAGATTCATCTTAACGGCAGGAATTAGTCCCTAGTTCGTGGAACGCGGATGGCTGACAGCTACGGTACACGCGCAGCGCTGCTTCTGGGGCGTCTGATGTATTATAATAATTGAGTTTTTTCTCGCGCTATTGCTGTTTTGGCTATCTGGCGTTGGTTGGTCCCGAGCTTAGCGAGTAGTTCGCATACCTTTGGCCAAACCTTCCAAACGTTCGCGCTGAAACAATGCTCTCGCTTGCTAGGCTAATCTATCCCATCCCCCCCCCCAGCCGTAGGTCGCCTTCGCTAACACAACGAGCTACGAATAAGAAATCCTTCTAGGTTTACAATACGTAATCGCGGACGCATGCTAAGAAACTCCCTTTAATGAATACTGGAAGATGGCACGTTTTCCATGCGCGAAGTCCGAGGATAGTTTCCGGATAGGCCCCCGCCTAGGTCAACCATGTCTTCTTCCTTTCGGAGACGGTAACTTGGTACCAGATTTGTCTGGGAGGATAAAACACTGACTTGTACATCGGCTGGCCCCCGCAAGTCATTGTATAGGCCACATCGCATTCAATAAGCCACTACGATTCTGAATGGAAGTAGAATGCGTGCCGCATCCCTACAAAGGTTATGGTCAACGGCGAAGACTTCATCCTCTATCCCTTACAAAGGTCTAACACGTACCCTCGAACTTCCGAATATTCAATGAGAGATCCGCGAATGGTAGTATCGGTTCATCATGGACTTCTGCCAATAGACATGCATTTCGCCATTTCCTTCATATCCCAAATTCCCGCCCCTCTTCAGTAGAACCTCTTGATGTGTGTGAGAGGTTTAACCTTATTCTGTCGTGCTTGTCTAAGCGTTGATGCGCGCAGCTTAACGTCATTGCATGTCAGCGACAATTGTGGTCATTACCGTCAATGCATGATTGCACTTGTTCTAGCACTTCGTTATGTGCTGCCTTGAGCGCACGCCACGCCACGGGCACTGCAGCATTCTCGTTTCGCGCGAATTCCTCCGGAAACGAACTTTATTCGATTGCCTCCTCTTCGGAACTGATTGAATGTCATCGCAATGGTTAGTTAGATGAGGTTGGCACAAGGCGCGTGAAATGTCGCTATTCTTATAGCAATTGAGAGGTACTAAGAAGCTTGACAATCAAGGTCTAGGCCGAAACTCTTAATCCGGGGGTCACGAAAATTTGGGCTTGTTCGGGTTTCGTGGGTCTAGTGGGTTCTTCTCAAAGGACAGTCAAGCTGAAAAAGGGAGAGATTTCGAGAAAATATTTCCATCTGGAGGACGAAAGATTTCTGGTACACAATTTACTAAAGTGAGCTCTTAAGTAGC